GATTCACTGTGGCCACTCATTGCTTTCCCATCACCTCTTGCTAACAGTGCTAGATATCAGACACCTTCTTAAATTTCCACAGATATCCTGTTTCTTTTCTTTAAAGAAAGCACCCATTGATGCAAGCAGCATTTTTTCCTCTGGCTAGATAACACAGGACACAATGCCGAAGCCTCCGGAGAGCACTGGGCTTGACAGGGAGCTGGTTTGTCGTACAGTATTTTAACAGACAAACATGCAAGGAAAACAACAAGGACAGCTACCCTGTGTAATGAAAGCTCAATGATTTAAAAAGCAGCAGTGTGTGTGCGAAGGAAGGGAGGGAGGCTGGGGGATGGGCCAGCGGGTTTCACTTGCCAGACCAGGGGTAACAAAAAAAGTATCCAGATCCAATAGACCATGTGAAAGGATATTACCAGGGTATGAAAAAATTCTTTTGGGGGGACAGAATGTATTTTTTCTGCCCTTTTTATAAAGCCCTGTTATTTTGCTGTTCTTTGCTTGCATCTGTTAAATGCTGGAATGTCTGCAGGGACATTTTGAAAAGCTGCACAATGTCAATTAAATTTGCCGAGCAGTATATCTTTTTGGAGTACGTGTGACCTTTTCTGTTTGTCATTTCCTGGGCATCACACCAAGTGATCCTCTTAGGATGCTGGCTTTGTGGAGCAGGCCCACAGCAGCAGGACTGCAGGAACTGCAGGTTTCTGGGACCGCTGCCAACCTCCGGATAATTGCCATCAGCAGGAAAGAGCTAGAAAAGCTTGGCTGAGTCCATCTTTTACAGATAGATTGACCCCTTTCTGCCACTGCAGAATCACAGTCAGAGAGAAACACATCTCCAAAAAGAAAGAGAAGGGAGGGGAGGAGGGGAAAGGGAGGAATGATTACAGCAGGAAAGCTACATCTGATCCGAACAGGGGAGATTTGGAGGTTACACTCACTGCTTCCCATCACCAATCTTTTTAACATCTTCTGTTTTAAGACAGACAAATCTGAGAATGAAGCTTAAATGCTCAGCTCTGTTATAATAAAACTGGTGTTTCCGTGAAAACAGAGTCGATGCTCTGAGAGCGAGGTGGGAAGGGTGGGAATTTAATACCTTCATCTGCTGGGAAATAACAATTTTAACATATATGCGGCAAGAGAGAGAGAATGCTTGCTGAAAGCTACTGCAGGTGCTTGGAAAGGAGATGAGGGAGAGCAAAAAAGATAAAGGAGACTGCACGGCCACAGCTCAGTAGCTGAGCTGAGGTGTTTTGAAAAGCAGTGCGAGCCCCAGCTGCACCTTCTGAAAGCAGGCTGTGGAAAGCTGTGCCCTTAATATCCCGATGTCCAGCAAGTGCCTGGCTGGGGAAGAGGTGGTGATGTGGCCAGGCTGTGATTTCAGCATCTGAGATTTCAGGTGCATTGCATTCCCCACACCTCAGTGCTATGCACAGAGTTCAGCATCAGTGCTGCCAGTGAGCACCCACTGTGACCATAGCACAGGAGCCCATGAGCTCAGTGCAGGAATTTCTGGACATGTGCTGGGATTCCCACCCTGAGCCTGAGCAGCCTGCCTGGCACATCTCAGCAGAGCTGGGGCAGGCGACGGTCAAAACCTGGCCAAAATATTCAAGCCTGCCCTAGGCAATCCCAAACAGTGAGGTCCAGGTCCTATTCTGACTCCGCTAGGAAAATGGAAGAGGTGGCAGGTTGAAGACATAAGCAGTTGTCACTCCAGCCCCATTGTGTGTCCTGCAAGGTACAGGGACTGTGATTCTGCCCCTCCTTCTCTCCTTCCACCACTCACTGATGTGCAGTTCTCATGCAAAAGAGAGAAAAGGTGAGATACAAAAATGCATAAAAATAAGTATGATCTCTGACAATCAAAGATCTCTATGGAAGGGAAAACAATAGATCCCCTGAGACAAAATCTCTGTTTAGGTCAATACAGTCTCTAATAATATTAAGCTGTTTGATGTTATAAAAGCCATAATATGCAAATTCATTCATCAGCAATACTGCTTTTTTTCTCTCTCACCCATCATCTATCTCTCAGTTGCCAACATAAATAATACTTGGGTTACAGTAATGTCCTGTGGCTCCAGACTGGGGGAGCTTCAATGCATAAGGTGCTGAGCAAACATGTATGGAGGCATAATGCTGTCAAATGTTATCCAAGTCATATAATCTGCAGCTATATTCCTCCCTCTGGAGAACAGGCCCTGTTCGGCAAATGCTTGGCCTGCTTCTGTACGTGACACTCAATGTCAGCGAGTGACATCTCGCAGATGACACGTTATTGGTAGAGCAGGTGCTGGTGGTGAGGGCTATATTTAAAAAGCAGAGGTCTAAAAATGGCTTTGCAAGGCTCTGTGTTTATCAGGTCTCAGGCATTTCCAGAGCAGCTCTTATTCTTTCACAAGACCTTTGCACCCTTGTCCCACCAGAACGAGAAAGCCAAGGGGTGCTTTCCAGGACCACCAGAAAAAAAGCCAAGCAATCTGGGATATAGCATCTTCATCACCCATAAGAAAGAAGACATGTATCAGAAGAGTTTCCAGAGCCATAAATTTAAAGGCATTTTTTACAATAAATGTGGCAAATTCCCTGTAAGTTTATCTACCTTCATCAAACCCCAAAGTTACAGGAGACAAGGGCAGATGAACACATCACCATGAACTAAGCAACAGTGCACATCTTTGCCTGTATCACCCTCTTTGTGGTAACTCTGTACATAGCCAATAGAGGAAAGCATGAAATAGCCTGCTCGGGGATTGGCATGAGGCCGAACACGCGTATGGTACCCTGTTTAGAATAACTGCATTTCCTTGGGGTCCCTGCTCTGTTTGCCTCTGTCCATTCAGAATTTTACTCATAAGTCACATAGGTTGTTGAATCAGTTTGCCAGTCCAGGAACGGGGGCCTTTTTGAGAGCCAGAGGCTCTCAAAATTTAGGGCTGCCCAAATGGTGTTCACCCAGTAGCACACCATCTGCAATGGCTGGGAATAGATGGCTGCCCTCAAAACCGCACTGCTATAGGAAAGTCTTTCCAATTATTAAGCTCCAAAACCATATTTGGAGTTTAACTATGGGTTTACACAGAGAATACAAGACAGAAAAGCAGTTTAGGCCTTTTATTTCCGGCCCAAGATGTAAGCTTTGATTTTTTTTTCTGGAGGCTGCCTCCAGTTGGTCTACTTGTGGGTGTGTTCTGGGGATAGAAATGATGATGAGATGTTGGTCTGTTGGCCACGAAAACTGGTGCTGTCCACTCAAATTAATTTGAAAAACATTGCCAGACCTCAGCTTGTAATATGCTATTGAATTACTCTTTCTGCATGCTGCTTGGAGTAATCCTAGCCTGAGTGTGGTCTCTGGTAAATATGAGGGAATAAACCTGAAATTTCAGGTCTCTGGAAAGCCATTTGTTTATTCCTCAGATCTGAACATTTTTTTTTCTTGGTGGTAGTTTTTTGTTTTGGTTTGGCTGTTTCTTTGTGTGTGTGTGTGTGTGTGTGCGTGTTTCTTTTTTTTATGAATATATGTTAAGAAACTATATATTGTGTCTGGAGTAATTGTCAACATCAGCAAAAATTCACGTCTGCAGGTGACATATCAAAAAGAAAAGATCTCTCTATTTCATTTAATTTCCATTTGCCACCCCCACTTACAGCTGGGGGATGTAAATGTTTTGAATAGTCTCACTGAAACTAGGAGGATGACCTACAGGGAGGCAGGTGAGGGAGGACTTTACCAAATCACCCTCCAGCACCAGGTGCTGGAAGGCACAGTGTTGGTAGCTGTTGACCTGAAGAAGTTAGGCTCTGCAACGCAGCTTCATTTCCTCTCTTTCATGTGAAATATTGAAAAAGAAACCAACACCAACAGCTTTTCCCAAGCCAACAAAAATAAAACGGCTTGCAGCAGGTGAGGTGCAGCATGCCTGCCTGACTCTGGGGAGGCAGGGGGATGGAGAGCAGCTCAACAGCTGGCAAGAGGTGGGCACTCAGGCAACAGCACCGTGGCTGAGGTTCAAACCCAGAGCAAAGTCTTCCGTGGGAAAGATTGCAATTGTTGACAGTGGAGAAATGTAACTTGTGGTTTGCAAAAGCAGCTGCAGGGATGTATGCAAAACCCAGCAAGGAGTTCTGCAGAGAGAGCCAGGACCAGGCACGTCATCAGGCTTCAGAGGTGGAGAAGAGGAAGAGTTTGTCCTAGGGTCTGGCAGAGTCTTAGGGTGATGCAGTTTGTCACGGACACAGGCTAGATTGAGAATACACATCTATGAGACAGTGTCTTAAAGAGTTCTTCTGTTAGGAAAAAAAGGTTATTGTAAAGAAACATTATAAGACGTGACCTATTCTCTAACATACCCCCATCCTTCTCCCTGTGCCACCATTTGTGTCTGACGTGGGGATCAAAATATTGTCACAGCCACGTACACACACAGGTTATCCATCTCTCTGACTCAAAGCAATAAATCCCTGTTAGCTCACTGGAAATGGAAACTGCTAAGAAGAGACCTGTGGGTGCACAGAAAACTTTTGGTGAGCTTAGATCAAGCTTCAAGGTTACAAGAAACCCAGAAATCAAGCAAGTCATTTGTGGTTATGCAGCAGCATAAATGTCAAGTATGTTAAATCTCTCTTCTGTTTTGGGGTCATCCCCCCACTCTCATATAGTTATTAAGACAGAATCAAGACTTAAATTTAGAGTTTATTAATTCCTTAAATTAGCTTACAGAATACCAAAATGCTATTTTCTCACTCAGCCTGGGTTAGGTGTGAAGATCTTACCATCTTGTTTTCAGCTACAGATGTACCTCCTCTTCTCACAAAATAAACAAACCAAAAACCCACTTACTCCCGTTCTCCTGTTTAAATTTCTCTGCGATTTAGGAGAAGCAAATAATGACTTTCTGCAAAAGCAGGAAATAAATTATAGCCAAAATGGCAAAAGCAAAATATTTCTCCTCTAAACATGTTGTTTTTTACTTTGTATGTCTTGGCAGACTAACCATCTGAAAACACCCACCTGAATTCTCCGCACTCAACAGAGCAGCCCAAGGATAAACCCTCAAGTAAATCCTATGTGACTGAAGCTGTAGGAACCTGACTGTGAGTAAAAACATTTTAAATATGATTGCTATACCTGTTAGTAACCAAAGAGTCCTTTTGGAGCAAATAATTTTCTTGGAAACATCTGAATCTAATCATCTAAAGCTGAGAGCCCAGGTCTATGTTATACCAGTGTTTGAGTCTCTACAGGGTCCATTCCCTGCCTGAAAAGAAGAGTTTACCTTGTCCATCTATCATTTAAATGGTAATCAGTTAAATGAATTCCACCTCACTTCTGAGCTTCAGAGCAAGCTTGGGTTTATTTATTAATTTAAAGACACAGGAACAAGTTTGACATTGCTGAACATGTCCCAGATTTATGGAAAATAAAACTGTACTAATCTAGTGCATTTATTAGCTTTTCTGTCGAATGCCTCCATGAGTATCCAGAGATGTGAGTTTGCCCTGCAGTTCTGTTCTGACTGGAACTGCATCTCCTGAAACATAAATGTTATCTTAAGGTCATATGCTGATGAAAACCACTGTTTTGCCAAACTCTAATTTCTTGGTCATTTGACAAAGCAGCTGCTGTGCAGTTACATGGCACAAAGAAAGCTATTAAAGATGGATGAGTTACATGTTTGATTTGGCATATATTATACTGCTTCCAAAGGTAAAAATTAAGACAGATGATTATATTTCCTGATTTAACTGAATAAATAAGTGACCTCTCACAAATACATATACCAGAATGATATTTCTAAATGAAGTTGTTCATCTACACCTTATGTAGTCCTCTGGGAGCTTCTGTGCATGTATCTTAATAGAACAAAGCAAATATCCTAATGCCAGATATAATTAATTTGTAGCACCATAGACGGGCATAGAGAAAAGTTCCTGATTCAGGGGAAAATGCAGAGATTAGACAATTGGGTTTGTCATGTGACAGTAAGCTCTGCAGCTGGTGTGCATTAACAAAAATAAAAATTACAAGGTTTAGGTAATCAACAGCTGCTGTCAGCTGGTATGGTACCACATCAGTGCCTCCAAGGTCTGTAAAGATTACTTTTTACCATCTGGAGGATATCTAGCATTGGCCAATGTCAGAAGGGCAGTACTGGAGGCTTCTGCTGCTGCTTTGGCAGCCTGTATGAACACTCACTTGTAGGAGCAGGGAACATGTAGCGTGGAGTCAAGAAACATGATCCCATGACATGCTTTAGGAGGTGGTGCTGTCATAGCTAGTCATTCCAGGGCTTTTTAATGTGTGAGAGAGCGCTGACAGGAAAATCATGCTGCAGGGATATAAGTTTTGGGTTACACGAAGCTCCGTGTCCAGGAAGAGCTGGAAGATGTGCTGGAGTTGCAGCAGGGTTTGGCCTCCACATTTAGGCTCTGAGCAGCAGGTTCTGGAGGCAGAGATGATGTTCCTGGGAACTGCACTTCTGCTGATGGATGGGGAAGGAAATTCTGCCCTGCACTTCATTTGACTTTCATCTTGCAAGGAGAAAGATCAAATATTCTCAGGGGGGAAAAAAAATCACCAGTATTTTATCTCATTGGAAAGTTTTCTACTTGAGAAATACTTTCTGTACTTTGTAACAGAAAATTTAGGAAACTAGAGATCTCTTTTGTTTTCTCTTCTCCCTTCCTAGCCATGAAGTTCAGAGTAGTTCCAAGTGAGGGAGGTACTTTAGCATTGAGGATAGGACTTCGGTTGGGCAGCACCTCCACCATTCACTTACACATTAACCCTCACATAACCAAGGAGGTAGGAAAATTGTCCTGGTGAGAAATAAGCATGAGCAATAAAGAAGCACTAGTTCTCAGATCAGAAATCTAACACCAAAAGAATAAGATTTCTCAATATTCAAGCTAACAAAAGATACGTTTCTTGAAAAAGTTATATGTTAGATTGGCAAGTGATCTCTCCTTCCTGTTTACTGATAATGTAAATGGATCACATCTCAAAATTAAGTTTCCAGAACAAAATCTGGGATCAAAAATACCTTATGATATAAGTTAAATAGGAGGCGATGTGACTGTGAAGCATCTCATGTTTAGTGACTGCACCATCCATTTCAAGGGCATGTGTTCCACCCAGACAGCTGCAGAGAAGGATACATTTCCCCTGCTTTGGGAAGGCTTTGGGACAAAAGAGACCTTTTCTTACAGGCATTGCATGGGGACTGCATTTGTTCTATGAAAAGTTTGTCTTGATAAACCTGTTTGCTTGTGACTTTATACTAGTCTACTGAGAAACCTCAGGAATAGAAAATCACCTTGTTTTGTGCCTCAGTTTCCTAAAACAGAGTTGTTTGTCTGTGCTTCCTGAAAATCACTTTTGTCATTTACCAACTAAGGCTATTTATTAGCATCTTATAGCTCCAACTATCAGCCCATTGAGTTCATTGTCTGCAGTCTCCATGGGAGGGGAACAGCCTTGCAAAGCACTGCCTGTGCACACTGCCAGTTGCAGTGGTTCTTTATCTCCATAGAAGCCTCTGTCATGATGAGCACATATTGCAGTTTGTGCATCTCTTTTTATAAAACTCAATTCACATGCTGAGGTTTCCTGGTCTTGCGATTAACTTCTTTGGATTAGCTATGATATCTCCCTGTGACACATAATTCGTGTGAAACTTGTTAGCTCTCCTTAAAATAAGTAAACACATAAATAATCAGGCTGGAATTCATTGCTGAAAATGAGTAACAGCCAAGCAGAAAAAGCAGCAATAAAACTTCTGATCTTGGAGGTCTTTTCTGACCTTAATGATTCTATGATCTATGTTGTAAAACATCAATATTTGCAATAAGCCATTAATTGAGAGGTGTCGTGGTAAAGTAGCTTCTTCCAAACATGAAATACTGTATTCTCATGACAAAATCACTGAAAGACACAAGCTGAGCTCACCAATGCTGCAAGGCACCTGCAGAAGCTCCATGAACCACAGAACCTTGTCCCTGATTAATGTAATTCCCCTTTGGGCAGAGTATATCCCTCCCACAGAGCTCAAGGCATGGAAAGGAGACATCATAGAAGCATCAGGGTAAAGCAATAAGGCTTACTTGCATCTACACTTCACACAAAGACTTTACACCACACTTCTGGCCCAGAACATCTACTTAATAGCCTGCTTAATAGCCTTTAGGTGTGGAAAATGAATGATATGGAACTCTTGGTGCCTGGATTTAATTCCTCTGCCCCTCCAGTGTCTTCTCTACTTATATTTCCATTGCTATATAGAGCTCTACTCTTCACCATCCCTAAGATTCAGTGATTTTAAAGCCAAAGAATCATTTCACTTAGATCATCTATGTCACAGGCTGTTAAGTTTCACCCAGTCATCCCCAGGATTGATCCTGGCAATTGACGTTCAGAGAAAATTGTCTTCCAGAGAGACACCCAGCCGTGATTTGCAGGAATTGAGAAGCAGAGAACCCATGGCTTTCTTTAGCAGTTTGTTCTGGCTTGTAATCCTCCTCAGCAGAAAGTTAATCTTATTCTAAATCACACTGGTTCCTCTCATGCCTTCCTCTGTCTGATTAAAGAGCCCTTTTCCAACAAGGTTCTTCTCCCTGCACAAATATTTCTGCAGTAGTCAAATAACCTCTCCATCTTCTCCTTGCCCAAATAAGCAGGATGAGCTTGAAAAGTCTTTCATCCTCAGGAATTTCCCCTATTCTTGTCTGGCTCTTTGCTACAGTTTCTCTGTGTTTTGTTTTGTTTTTGTTTTTATATTCTTGAAAGCAAACAAGCTGGGATGCAGCACTACAATTTCGCTCACCCTGATTTTGTACACAGGTGCAGGGCTGCAATCAGATCCTATTGAAATGGGAATATGCATATAAGAAAGGTTTATGAGTTTCAACATGAAAGGCCCTGACGTGTAGTGTATGGAGCACATGCACATAGAGCATATATACATATAGAGAAATACATGTAGGTGTAGACATGCCTTTGATCTGTGGGCTAACAGCCATAGAGGTAATTATTTTATAGTGGTGCAGATTATGTCCTGGAGTAGGTTTAGCTGACTACTGAAGAACAGAGGGAAAGAAGTCAGAAGCAGGATGTGTCAGAAGCAACAGATGAATCAGGGTCTTGCAGTCTTGCATAAGAAGGGAGAGTAAAATAAGTATGACCACTAATAAGGAGTTAGGTTGATTTGCTTGCCTCGTCTAGATATGGGTAGATGTAAATGAATGGTCAGCTCTTAGTGGAGACCTCCTGCCCTGAATTTATGGCCATACAGAAGTTCCTGTCTGCTCCAAGATATTTGCTGAAAAATGGTCACTGGATCACAGGAATGTGGATAAAAGTCAATCCTGATCAGACCAGGCTATTTACTATTACCTATAGCATGGACTTCAACTTTCTGTAAATTGTGTCATCTGTACCTTGTAAGCAATGTCATTTGCACTCCTCCATTTAGTAATTCATCACATCACATTTATATTATATTGTTTGTTCACTAATCACATCATTTAGTCAAGATTTTAATTAAAATACTTTCAAATGTATTACTATGAAAGCAAGGCTTCTTTAGCATGAGCTTCTTCCTTCTTGTTTCCCAGCTCTGTCCTGGGGGACAACCTTCACAAGAAACAGCAAGGCTCTCTGGCTACTCCTGATGGTGGGGGGCTAAAACCTACCCCTCAGACCAAGGCAAGCCACTTGCATCATTCATTTCTTTACATTCAGAGGTCCTGGAACAACCAGGAATGTTGTGTCTCAGCACAGCATGAAGCTCAGGCTGGGTTACTCACCCAACATGACCTCCTGCACACATACCCCTCACATCCCTTGCCTGAAGAAGGCTGCCCCTTCACTACAGATGAAATTTCATTACTGTAGAATAGGAATAAAGCATGCTTTCTATGTTCCTACATGGACAACACCACATTTGGCTGTAGTAAAACACGTTTTGCCTGAACAAGCCAAGCTTCACCAGTGATCTAGATTACACTGTCCCTGCAGTTATTTATACCTCTACCAATCTTCATCAGCTGAAAATTCTATCAGTGGTGACTTTATATCTAATTCTGGATTACTGACG